ATGCTCCTTATAATATGTTGGGATTTGTGATATAGCTTGTGTATTCTGGAACCAAGTTGGTTTCCATTCTAATAAAATTGTTTTTCTTGTGCCATGTAAAGCATCTTTACATTCGGGATCTATAGAATTTATATCTGATGCATATTTGTTTTGGAAATACTGTTTATATATTCTCACTTCAAAGAATTTCTCATCAAAAGTCAGTTAAACTTTAAAACTAACTGCGGACAGCCCTTTGGTTTTGCATGACAAGAAGGACATAGCAAGGACTGGATTCGCTGCCAATGACGGTAGAAATATCAACATAATTAGGAATCGCTTAATCAACCATTTGGAATATTTGATAATATCCGTCCAGCTTTTAAAATGTGTTTTTACAAACCTTAACATAACATGGCAAAATGTTTAATTCAAGATACAATAATGAAAACAAATAAAATTCATCTTGAAAACAAAGAAAGAGAGGTTGGCCCTACGACATTTCACCTTGAAAAGAAATCGATTCTAATTTAAAATATCTATTTATCTTATTATACACTGTAAAATGTTCATAACTAAGATACCAAGTTAAAGAGACTTGAGTCCTTTCGTAAACTTTTAAAAACTACCTTTGCCCTGCGGCAGTCGCTCTGACGAAGGGCTAACGCTGGAAACAGCAGCTTTGAAACTATTTACGGTGGCTAATTTACGTTATCAACCCAGTTGATTATATTAAATTACCCTGTTATAATTTCCCACCAACACAGCACCACAGTTCCTTTAGAAACTTATCCGTCTTGTTTTATTCTTGTACCGTACGGACGGCAAAAGAATATTTGAAAGCGCTACACTTTGCCAGCTGAAGAGATAATTCAAAAGAATGGTTTGCATTTAGCAGATTTGTACTAAGTCAGTTGGAACAGTATTATATTTAAGATAATTTTAGCCGAACATCAATCTTCTATAAGCTTTATCAACTATTTACCGTCTTCTTTAATGAAGAAGTGATAAGCTTGTATACACTTGAGCACAAGTAAACTTGTCCTAAGGAGAGGAAATTTCAGTTTTTGTGTGTTCATGAACACCATTCAATTAATAGTGTTGGGTAATGAGAGGCTCAGCAGTCAGCCTCTCCTCATGAATTAGGCACCTAAACATACAGCAATACCCTTTAATAAAGTTGAGGTGCTATAGATGTTATAGTCTGAAGTTATGTATGGTACCCGATCAATCACTGAAATTGTTTAATGATGCATTTAAAAGTGTGAAGGCTGATTTAAAATTATCTTTCAGATTGTACAACAGAGGCCATTGGTCTGGCCACTGATGGTACAATCCCTGACATCAGCTTCACAGCCACATCATATTACGATAATAGATATAAACCTTCTTATGCTCGACTCAATGGAAATAATCGAGGTTGGGCACCCAAGACTACGACCAATCCTGCAGACTTCTTAAAAATTGACCTGCTGCACAAGTATGCTATTTGTGCTGTTGCTACTCAAGGAGCTAATGGTATCAATGAGTGGACAACAAATTACAAGATTCACTTATCGTTGGATGGCATCACGTTTTTCACTTATAAAGAAAACAATACTGACAAGGTAGGTTTATGTGAAGATCCTGGATATGTTTGAACATATTTTAAAAAAGGTAAAATAATCATCTGAAACACTCAATCAATTTTTGGAGTCAAGATGTAGGACAAAAAAGAGGCGTTTAGTTTGTCAACATTCCGGTTCAGTTCTTTTTCAAGTGAACTACAAACGGTTACTCAAAGCGTGCATCGTTCTTTCCTTTTTTTAAAAAAAATGTAATGTATGGTACATTTAGGTAAATACGATACACTGTCAGCATTGAGTTGTTAATAAGTCTAATAATGATAAGACTTCTGGACTTATGAACCGGTCCTTTAATCGCATTAGATTTTAGAGACGTACTTGTACAGAACACTATGGTTTGTGGTGAATTCATTTGGCTATTTGCCAATTCAAAGTCGTTGGTTATGGAGTACCTTATACTTTATGTAGTTTATGATGCAGTATATCAATTAAGAAAATTTTGATACAATAATGTTGCATTTTTACAACAAACTTCAGGTTTTTCCCGGAAACTCAGATCAAAATAGCATCACAAAGAACAGTCTAAAAGAATTTTCAAGTGCAAAGTTTATCCGTTTTCTGCCAACAGCATATTATAGTTGGAAGGTCCTGAGAGTGGAAGTTTATGGAATAGTTCCAACCAAAGGTATTTATTTGCTTTCATTTTTGTCTCCCTCTGAGAAAACATTGAGGTCACAATAACTTATTATTTCTGGAAGCAAAGATTGGGTAATTGTACAGTGCTATGAGGGCACATTCAATATTCCCAAATGTTGCTTTAGCCTTGGCTGAGTGAGAGTGGTATTGAAATAATTTTAAAGTTGACCATTGGAGAATTTGATAATCAACACTCTTTACTCTCTGTTGAACCGTAGATATCCATATCCACTTAATTTTAGTGCAGCTGAAAATCAGAGACTTCAGTGATCAATACTTTCATTTTGTGTAATGCTCTTATGCTGTGATCCTGTACACGTTCTGTTCCCATAAGGTTAAGCAATTGACCAAAATGCATAATATATTCAAATTCACCGACATAAATTTTCATCAACATTGCATTTCTTGATGGGCAACATCACCCAATGCTGTGCTTCTCAATCACAGTGTGAAAACGTGGGATTTAGGACATGGGCTGCAGTCTTAAGCTCACTAAGTCCAAGAAATTTGAAATCAGCAGACTATTGTGTGAGCTTGCCATTTGTTTTCCTATTGCTAGTAAAAGTATGGTGACGTTCGGCATCTTTGAAATTGCATCAGGATTTAAGTTCCATGCTTAGCTTCCGAGTATGTGCTGTATCCTGTACAAATATTTTGTGAATTTTCATTTGTTTCTGCAATGCTGTTTACTCTCACTTCAGAGGAATATTCCACTAAAAATAAAGGGGTCAAACCTTGAAGTTAACTGCTGGCAGCCTTTTTGTTTTGCACGGGAAAGAAGGGGAAAGTAAAGGTTATATTAACTGCAAAGTGCAGTAGATGTAACGTTATAATTATGAATCACTTAACCAATCAAATCGTAGAAATCTCTGTCCATCTTTTGAATTGTGTTTATACGTGTGGATCTTTTCTGAGGTTTGTCAACTATTTACTATCTTCTTTAACTTAAAAAGAGGAAAAAGAGGCTTGATAAGCTTGAGCATAAGTGATTTTTTCTCAAGGAGAGAGAAAATGTTTTGTGTGTGTGCAGCCTCTATTCATGAAATAGGCAACCATTGACGTAAAACTGTTACTTTAAATTAAGTTGAGGTGAATTTATCCGTAGATGCGACAAAAAGTGCTTAATTCTTAATTCACTTTAATTATTTACATAATTTGTGTAAAAATGTGAAGGCTGCTTGTTTTAAATTATTATCTTGCAGTTTGCAAAATGGAGGCCATTGGTCTGGCCACTGGTGGTGCAATTCCTGACAGCAGCTTCACAGCCTCATCATATTACGATAGTAGATATCAACCTTCTTATGGTCGACTGCATGGAAATAATCGAGGTTGGGCACCCAAGACTA